CCCTGATTGTAGGTAAATGCAGATCTAGGTTTTTATAAAGCAAGCCCTATCCTGTGAGGAAAAAACTAAATTGGAAATTATCCAAAACACATTTATGCAGTGTTCCAAGTAGTTGATGGAAATTAGTCCCAAAGTTTGTACCAAACAAACATTCATGCATAGAAACTACCTGCTCAGTGCCACTGCAATCCTGTACTAGCTCAGAAAAATACTTCTTTACATTGGAATGGGTGTTCTTCAGCAGTTAAATCCTTTCTGATTAATCTAATATATAGAAATTGGAAGCCATTTGTGCTCTCTCTCTTGGAGGCAAAAAATGGACAAAGATGGCTGAAGCTCTTGCCTGATCTGTAACTACAGGAATGGTACCAAGACTGGAAAGGTGTTTGGAAATCCACAAGATTCCCTGGATCCATTTGAAGTTGCAGGACAGAAAGAATGAAAAGTCAATCTTTAGCAAATGTGGGAATTGGAAAAGACCCTTCTGTTGTTCAGCCTGATAGCCATGGGGAGATCTGGGCAAGAACTGGACAGAAGATCCTGGAGGAGAAAACCATACTTTCAGAAGTTCAGCCCTGGAACTTCAGGAAGTTCCAACACCAGGATGATGGGGGTCCCCGAGGACTTTGCAGCCGACTCCATTCCTTTTGTAGTAAATGGTTGAGATCAGAAAAGCACACAAAAGCGCAGATGCTGGACCTGGTTGTTCTGGAGCAGTTCCTGGCCCTTCTGCCCCTGCAGATGGAGAGCTGGGTGCGGGAGTATGGAGCAGAGACCAGCTCCCAGGCGGTGGACCTGGTGGAAGGCTTCCTTCTGAGCCAGGTGGTGGAGCAGATGGAGAGGACTGACTGGCAGGTGAGAGACTTTCATTTGGGAGCTCAGAATTGATTAAATCTAATAAACAGTGTGTTTGAATTCTTAACCCTTGCTTACCAGAATTCTGTGGCATTCATTTTATGTGGAGATACTGATAATTCTTGTAGGACATTGTTCTGTTTCCTTTCCTACTTTCCAGCCTAACTTTTGGTGTTCTGGGACTTCAAAGTGGTGTTCATAGAAGAAGAATCCACTTCTTGAGGAGTATTGTCCATTCATTCTTCTTTTTTTCCCCCCGCCTGCTATTTCAAATCCTTCATGGTGAAGATCAGGGATCCTGAGAGATGGAGGCATCCATCAAATTCACCTCCAGAAATGTTTTTCAGGATGATCTCTCAGGATGATCCAAATCAAGACACGACCAGAGGTAATACAAGGCTCTACCATTCCCCAGAGTGATCTCATCTATCTCATCTTCTGTACGTCTTCTATAGAATACCACCTCCTACTTTATTAATTATGCAGTTTAAAATTCTCTCTCCTTCATAGGGAAGAATAGAAGGAAGCTGGCCCTTCCTGATGTTGAAGCTGAAACAGTGGTTGACACTCCAATTCAAGTAAGAAGAGGAAATTTATTTATTAGAGTTGTATTCTCCTTTTCCTTCAGTAAGTGAAGCTGGTGTACATAGTACAATTTCCTTTCACTTTTCCCTCTTGTTTAGGTTGGCTTATTTTTGTGTTCCTGAGCAAAATGAGGTTGTTAATTAGGAAATTTTATTTTAAGACCAGTATTTTAAAGCTAGTTGTTGCCAATTATTATTATAATAATTGTAACTATGTTAATTACTCTACCCAATTTTCAAATAATCCTTCGTGATGCCTATTCTTTTTGTAATTCTTTGACTTGCAATTGTGCAAGGATGCTTAAAATAACTAAATATACACACTGGCAAATCACCATTTTTTTTAAAAAAAGCTTTGTTTACAATCTGCAATAAGGAAAGAAAATGGACACATTAAAAGATTAGACTATTAAACTCCAATGCAACTTAATAGAAAATTCTTGAAGTAAAAATTGTTCTGAAAGCACACATAACCAAGGCATATTTGGTTCGCAAAGTAAATTTAAAACCTTGATTTGTGCCTGAATTTGGAGGCCAAACAATCCAGTTTTGCAAAAGCTAAGGAATGGAATGGGACAACTCTCCACGATCAACTCACCACATCCAACTTGAGATAGGACAACTTGCTGCAGTACAACTGAGCAATTCAATTTAATTATTTAAAATAATTTAAAAAATATTTTAATTTTTGTCATTCACATTTTATTTTTCCCCCTCCTTTGGCATCCTTTCTTTAATGATTCTATTCCATTATTTCTTCGATATTAGTATAAATCTTGTCCTGCCGCAATTTGTCCTATGGCAAGTTGGCCATGGCAAATTGACCATAGTGAGTTGTCTGTGGCAAGTTGGCTGTGGTGAATTTTCATAGACCCCTAAGAAATGTTCTCCTCGGGAAATTTCTTCCGCTTTGTTATTTTCCATTCAGTTGATGTCTCAGACAACAAGCAGCTTCCTTACAATCTGAGGAGGACCAGAAACAAATTCTTGGCAGGATTGGTCCTTCTTGGGATACCATGAGCCATTTACTAAAATGCTGCAAAGAATCCCTCTGTAAGGACCTGCCTCAACTAGGTCTCCCAAGAAACTAGAACTCTTGAAACAGGCATTGTCACAAAAGGAACTTTTATTGGGAATTAGTGATAGCAAGGAAGCAAAGCGAGGTCTGAGGAAATAGCCCACAAAAGCAGTATATCAAAAGCAGTATTCGTTACACCTCCCTCCATAGTTCCACTGTCCGTTTGAATCTTGGCCAATCCACAGGTGGTATATTTTTTTGATAACTGGTTGCTTTGGCACCCTCTTCAAGGTTTCTCTGTTTTGTTTGCCTCCGGCTCCAAGCGCAATCCATCTTCTAGATAAGGGTGTTGGTATTTAGGCGCATCCCTTCCCCTGGAGGAAGGACAATGTGGCAGAGGCAAAGCAAAGCATATTGTATATCCCACTTATCAGAATCCCCCCTCCCAACAGAATGGCAGGCCCCCCAAAAAGTTCATAAAAGCATATAACAGTAATACATTTCTTTGGGGATCTGACACCACACCACCCCCAAATGCAGGAAGTATTGGCGTCACTGATATCATAGGTGCAGTTTTGGAACTCCAGATACCAACTGATTCCAGACATCTTTGATGATGCTGGAGGGAGAATGGGTGGGTGAATGGATGGATGGATGGATGGTAGTCCAATTGACCCAGAAGGAAACTTGTGTAACATTAACTGAATGGCGCTGAAAGTCCTGCAGAATCAATCCAATTGATAACACCTGCCCGAAGTATTGCTTCAGTCAAAAGCTTTTTGCTCTGTCTATTTTTTCATGTAAACCCTGGAATCCTAACAAGCAGAGCCATTTACACAGTCTTGCTTGTGGAATTTATAAACAACGGGCCTTTTTTTTTACAATTCCTCTTAGGTCTTTTGTGTACTTTTTGTTTTTCCTGTCAGGAGGGCCTTGTCTCCTTCCAGGAGGTGGCTGTGTATTTCTCTGAGGAGGAATGGTCTGTGCTGGATCCTCACCAAAAAGCGCTGCATTGGGAAGTCATGCTGGAAAATTACAGGAACGTGGCCTCTCTTGGTAAGGATTTCCTATTCTCCAATCAGAGAGTTCAGGAAGACATTTTGTAATTGGATACCATTGGCTGTTTTTTATTAAAAAAAATCTCAGATAGATGTCATCTCTTGAGAGGAAGCAGGTAGAAATTTGCTGTTCTACTGCTCTGAGGGAGGAAATAGATCAGTGGCCTTCTGCTTAAGATGCATCCTGTGCCATTTCACACCTGGTGAATTTTCTATTTGCATTTAAACATCTCAGTGACAGAGTAATTCTTTGGCTTGATGTAATGCTAAACTCCATCACAAATTTCACCTTTTTTGGCCCAGAGAATTCCATATCAGTCCTATGAAGCCTTGTCGTTCAGGTATGTGGGTTAACTACTTCTGTTTGATTTCTATCCTGAACCTTGGAATTAGGGATAAAATGGTTCCATTTCTCCATTGCAAACATACAGCTTAAGGGTAAATGAAGAACACTAGTTTCTTTTCTCTTCAACCATGTGATTTTTGACAAGTAAAAAACAAAATGCAAATGGAATATAGTTTGTGTAAGAAGAAAAAGATGAGTTTCAAAATTGATTTAGTTCTCACAGGTCTCTGTTGGAATTGGCACCCTTCCAATGAATGTTAGGTTTTCTCCTCATGTCCCTGGATGCTATCCCTGATTTTTCTTTAACTCAGAGCTGACTTTTTTTTTATTGAAAAGTTTTATAAAAGTTACAATATAAACCCCAAAACCAACCCACCCTAAACCCCCCCCTCTCCCTCCCCCACTTCCCAGAGCTGAATACAGGGTTACAAATATAATAATCATACTGACTTTTATTGAGATTTCAATATGTACGGATAGTTATAAAAAAAGCATATTTGACTATTTTAAATCTTTTATGCTTCATAAATATTTATGTCATGCCATTGTAAGCAATAAAACAAGCTATATCTTAGAATTTGAAAAGTTTCAGAAAGCAATTATTATGACTTCCGACTGATTGAACTTTTTCTTTAACCTTGTTATCATATCTATTTCTCTTTCCTCTTGAAGGTGATAACGGGCAGGACCATGAAGAGTCTAGCAAATCATTCCAAGACATTCCAAGACATGGAGATGCAATGGAGAAACCTTTAGTTCAAATGGAATTCCAAAAGCAGGAGAGAAACCCATCAAATAATTGGAATAAGGAAAGCTCCTCTTCCATCGATGTTCACATGCAGGAGATTCTTGACCAACGAAGAAAAATACAGAAAAAGTATATTGGGGAAGGTGTAAAACTATCCAAAGACACATTAGACATAAATGAACACTATCCACCCAAAGCCAAAGGACAAGATTATATATGCAGAGACAATGGAAAAAATTACAATTGGACGTTCCCATTTCCTCAGAAAAATGGGTGTCTTACATCTCGTAAAAATCTTCCCATCAGAGAGGATCCAGATAAATGCATGGAGAATGGAAAGAGCGTCTGTGAAAAGAAGACTTTTACTGTTCAGATAATGAACCACACAGAGGAGAAGCCATATAAATGCATGGAGTGTGGAACGGGATTCCATAAAATTTCATCCCTTGTGAGACATAAGAGAATCCACACAGGTGATGCTCCATATAAATGCATAGAGTGTGAAAAGAGCTTCGACAAAGAGAGTAAACTTACATCCCATAAAACAATCCATACAGGGGAGAAGCCATTTAAATGCATGGAGTGTGGAAAAGGCTTCAGAGTGCTCAGTAATCTTACATCCCATAAAAGAATCCACACAGGGGAGAAGCCATTTAAATGCATGGAATGTGGAAAGACTTTTACTTATAGGAAACAACTTAGTTCCCATCACTTTACCCACACAGGGGAAAAACCGTACAAATGCATGGAGTGTGGAAAGGGCTTCAGCCAACACAGTAAACTTACTACTCATAAAAGGATCCACACAGGGGAGAAACCATACAAGTGCATGGAGTGTGGAAAGAGCTTCCGCCACCATAGTGGTCTTACTTGCCATAAAAGGATCCACACAGGAGAGAAACCATTTAAATGCATGGAATGTGGAAAGGGATTCAGTGCAAACTGCAATCTTACTTCCCATAAATGGATCCACACAGGAGAGAAGCCATTTAAATGCACAGAGTGTGGAAAGACTTTTAGTCAGAGCAGTGCCCTTACTCTCCATAAAAGGATCCACACAGGGGAGAAGCCATTTAAATGCACGGAATGTGGAAAGTCTTTTAGTCAGAGCCATCACCTTACTCGCCATAAAAGGATCCACACAAGGGAGAAGCCAATATAAATGCATGGACTGTGGAGAGAGCTTTAAGAGGAGCAACAACCTAATTTCCCATACAGAAATACACTTGGGTGAGAATGTATGTTAATTCTAGAAAGTTAATTAAATTTATAATTTTTTCTGTGAGACTGAGCTTGCAAAGGTTCTTTTTTTTTTTTACTTTGATCCTCCCAATTGGCAGACTGAGGAATATGAGTTTACTAATAAAAATGAAAACAATGGGCAGGTGGAGTGGAATGGTGACTGTCCTCACGGGTCCTGATCAGAGAGGTCAGCCATCTATACTCTCCACCAGAATGGCAGGGGCAACCTCATGCTGTAGGATCTTCCATTTCTGAAAAACACTAGATACCTAAAGTTCACAGTGGCCCCCGAATCCATCAGAGTTTGAATTTGCACCTTCGCCCTATCAGGCCATGCCAAAATCACTGCTACAGCCGTATGCTGCTTTGGCGTGACTCATGGTTGCTGTGTTGGGCCCATAAATATGATCACCCAACCTCACGAGCCTGCTAGGTCGGATCTCTAGAGTTTCCTGCCGGCACCTGATTTTTCTTAGCCGGGCACATAGGGGCCAGATGGCCAGCCCCCCCCCCACAGTAGAGGCATAGTCCCTCCCCACGCCGGTGGTCCCTCTCAGTGACGGTGAACCATTGTTGGGGCCCCATTTGCATAGATTCCTTGGGGAAATGGTTCCTCAGGGGGCTTCACTGGTGGGGGTGATTCTGCCCTCTGTCTCCATATTCTCCGTTTGCTGAAGCCATCTGTCTATATGCACACAGAAGTGCATGAGGGCCTGTAACCTGCTGGAACAGTCCATCCGGGTCAGCTCATCCAGAAGCTTCAATGACAGACCCTTCTGGAACTGATTGACGAGGGGCTCTTCTTTCCATCTTACGCCCTGGCTTATCAGTCAGAAGTCGCTGATATACTCTATGACTGACCATCACCCTTGCTTTAGCTCAGCAAGCACTCGTTCGCCATCTGGGCCTTCACAGGGTCCTCAAACATAGCTCTCAATAGGGTACAGAACCACTCATAGTTGTCCAAAAGCAGGCTGGACATCATCCGGTCTCAAGCTCATAAAGAGCTGACATTACCCAAAAACCCAGGAAACTGCTCCAAAGTCCCATCAAATTTGTCTGGCACAGACACTGGGCATTTCCTATGGGGATGTGCCTGGGCCGCCACTTGCATCTGGGCCAGCTGCAAGGAAAGCAAGGCTACTTGCTGGGGTTGTCTGCAAGCAACTGCTCCATCCTTTTGAAGAGTAGGCTTGCTGGGGAGGGTGAATATGTGACTGGGTACAAAGTGTCCTATCCTGCTCACACACACACACACACACACACACACACACACACACACACACATAACAGTAGTTTAGTTTATTAATATTCCCCAGCAATTCACTTCGCTAAAAACCCAGAACTCTCCCAATTAGATCCAGCCAAAAGCAGACATGCTAGTCCTTAGAGCAGGGCTTTTCAACCAGTGGTACGGATACCACCTGTGGTACATTGGCACCTGGCAGGTGGTACGCGACCATCCCAGAAAAGTAGCGGGGGAGGGGAATAAGCTGAACCGGTGGCAGCACCATACAAGCCTGAGCGAGAGATGGCTGGAGCTGCAGGGCTGTCAGGGCTCAGCAGAAGCGCCAGGATTCAGCACTTCTTTGGGACTGTCAGGGCTCAGTGGAAGCATCAGGATCAGCGCCTGGCTCCAGCTGGAGCTCGGTGCTGATCCTGGCGCTTCCGCTGAGCCCAGAAGAAGCGCCGATCAGCTGGAATGTTGCAGCATCTCCAGGATCTTGTGATTTACATTCAGATGCTTGGCAACTGATTCATATTTATGACGGTCACAGTGTCCCAGGGTCATGTGAAGTGACCAAAACCTGCTGCAACCACCCAGCAGACGGAGGAATAAAAACCAAACACCCCCCACCCCACCCCTGCTGCCAATCCTCAACAGAAATGCTCACAACAATGAAAACCTCGGACAGAAGGAAGAGCACCGCCGGGTGGGCAGGCAGGTGTCTTGCTCGGCTGTGGCTTGGGGGTCACTTTTTTCAGTGCCATTGTAACTTCAAACAGTCATTAAGCGAACTGTTGTAAGTCAAGGACTACCTGTACTTCATCACTTTTTTCTTTTTTTTTGGTCATCAAGTTTTTGACACCTTGCTAGGCGACTGGTAGTACTCGGATATTGCCATATCCTAAAAGTGGTACAATGGGTGAAAAGATTAAAAAGTCCTGCCAATTAAAAAGCCCTTCCCAATTAAGATGAACCCAGCCAAATCCCACTCAGACAACTGCTCGGAGCCACTGACGAACTCTCCTCCAGACGTGCCCAGAAGTGGTTCATCCTTCTCCGAGCTGACATCTGGGCAGCTATCTGGGGAAGCGTCCGGGACAGTCATCACAACATCTACAAGTACATTACATCTTTAATGTAGATGTAAATTACAGTTACACCTATATGGAGGGAAGCAAGCAGTGGGGTGACCCAAGGTTCTGCCTTACGCATAGTATTCTTCAACATCTTCATTAACAATTTAGATGAGGGGATAGAAGGGAACTCTTCAGATTTGTGGACAATACCAAGCTAGAGGGAATAGCCAACAGCTTATAAACCAAAGAGCCAGAAAGATCTTGACAGATTTGAACACAGGACCCTATCCAAAATGCAATTTACTGGTGAGAAAAGTAAGGTTTTACACTTAGGCAAGAAAAAAAATGCACTAGTATGGAAGAGATGGTATCTGGCTCAAGAGCAGTACAGAGAAGAAGAACAAAAACGATTAGGAGACAGGAAACTAAAACAAATAGAACAGTTGCAGGAACTGAGTAAGTCTAATCCAATGAAGAGATGATGTAAAAGGAGTCTTCCAATACCTGAGGGCTGTTGCAGATAAGATGAGGTCCACCTATTCTCCAAAGAACCAATGGTAGCATAAGAAGTAATGGAACAAAACTTATTAAAGAGAGATCCAGTCTAGAACTAAGGAGACATTTCCTGACAGAACAATTAACTAGTGGAACAACTTGTCTCCAGAGGTTTTGGGCGCTCTATCACTGCACCTTTGCAAGAAGACATTGGGCAGCACTTTGTCAGTCATGGTACAGGGTTTCTGCTTGAGCAGGGAGCTGGACTACAAAACCTGCAAGTTCCCTTCCAACTATGTTACTCCGTATCCTGTATTTTGAATCTCTTGAGTAAAAAGAAAGCTGAATTGTATATCTTATCTGTCCTTTCGCTCCCTGTATAAAAGGCTATAGCTTTCTACAGAACCTTTCTTAAAAGTGAAAAGGTGCACATGGATGTAACACTGTCAAAAGCAATTGGACTAAGAAGGATTATTGATCAGGGGAAAAACAATAGTCTCTTTCTTCTGGGGCCCTGATGGAAAATGCACCGTTTTTACCATTTGCCTAAGCCAGTGATGGTGAACCTTTCAGAGACCGAGTGCCCAAACTGCAACCCAAAACCCACTTATGTATCGCCAGGTGCCGGGTGGGCGTGGACCCCCGGGTGAGCGTGGACCGCTGGGTGGGTGTGGCTACGGTGGTCATGGCAGATGGATGGGCATGGCCAGGGTAGGCGTGGCAAGCTCAATGTTGTTCCTGGGGAGGGATGCCTGTGGGGGCTGGGCAGGGTTGGGGGAGATCCTGGGGGTCTCTGGCTGGTGGGGCGGTGGGCAGGAGGCTCGTCCAGTGGGGTGAGGCGAGGCAAGGTGAGGCAGGGCGGGGGTGCCATTGTCACAGGGCAAGGTGAGGCAGGGGCTGGGGCGGCTGCTGCCTGACACCATCGGCCCCAGCGCACAGAGGCCAGCAAGCGCATGGGTGCTGGGATGCATCTGGCCACGTGGGACCTTAGCGAGTTAGCAGCGGCTGGTTGAAGAGGACGGTTGCCATCTCCGGGGCATGGCGCACGTGCCCACAGAGAGAGCTCTGAGTGCCGCCTCTGGCACGCGTGCCATAGGTTCGCCACCACTGGCCTAAGCATTTTCCTTGCTCCTTGACTTCTTCAGAAAAGAGAACAGGACACCATGAGCTTCACCATTCGGCCACCAGAGGTCAAACCCCAGAGGTGATTGATCATTATAGACTGTGTATTGCTACATTTTTAAAAACTTTGTTGCTGCTGTTTCTTCTTCAGACCATGGGTCCAATAATTAAAGGAGGAGAGCCTTCTCTGTGGCAGCTCCTTCCCTCTGGAATGACCTATCCCCCGACCTACGTACAACTACGGACCTGCGCCTCTTTTGCCAAGCCTTGAAAACCCATCTATTCCATGCGGCCGGCCTGGCGTAGTTTTGATTGTGTTTTGGTAGGGGTTTTTATATGGGGTATTTTAGAGCAGGCTTTTTATTTAATATTTATTGTGATTTTTATTATTGCCTGTTCACCGCCCTGAGTCCCGTAAGGGAGATAGGGCGGTATATAAATTTAAATAATAAATAAATAAATAAATAAATAAATAAATAAATAAATAAATAAATAAATAAATAAATAAATAAACAAAAGGAAGTTGTGTTTATAACAAGACTATATATTCCACTTGTAAAGTGGGGGATAGGGTCACTTCTTATGCTCCTGTCAATACAGTAAAGCCCTATCAACAACTTCAAATCTGGACATATGGAGGGATGCGCAGACATTACCTCTTGGAAAGAATAACACGAGACTTATGGATAGTGCCAGAGTCTCCTTGGATGCATGTAAAGTTATTGACTATAATCAAGCTAAATGGACTAAGTGGGGAAACTGGCCTACTTATTTCATGCGAAATACGTTTGTACATATAACCTGGCACAATCGAAGGAAATTCAATGTGATTAAAGGAGTCAGCACTTCCCAGTGCAATGTTGATTCCTGCAACCTGGTGTGCTTCGAGATAAACAGACCAGCGGATTTCTCAGCATAATTTGGACTAGCTATCAATGGAACCAGACACAAATATGGCTTCAAGTTGACACTATTATACCACCGTCCCAGAAACATTTTCGAGTTTTTCATTCTTTTTACGATGAACTGGAAGTCACAATTGAAATTCCCTCAGTACTAAAGAAACTTTTTATTG